TGCAAGAAGACGTCGGTTCGAATCCGACCGGATCGAAGGAATTTGTTCTGAGTGTTTTTTCTGAGTGTTCGATCTTTGAAATTAATAATTATAACAAAAGTTCATTTCCAAATTGATCCTACCGGGAAACTGAATCAGGAACTCCTTGTCCAGCGCCTGAGGTGCAAGCCGCTGGGACACCGAAGCCGTCAAATAATAAATGAGGTATAGCTACTAACCTGTAGTGTATGGTCTTCGTATAATCCCTGTATCCTAATAGTGCCACCCAACAAAGCTTGAGACACCGAGATCTGTAAAGAAAATAATAACACCAGTAAGAATCTGAAACTTTCTTTTTATTATGTGAAAAAGGAGCAGACGAGCACCTTGATGGTGATGAGGTGTTCATCGTCGCCCATGGACATCTGCAACATCAGAAAAACTGCCTATGTGTTGCAAACTTTCGAGAGCTTTCGAGGCTTTTTGGAGGAATCCATGTCATAGCGCAAAGGAAACACTCCAAGAGGGAGACTGTTCCACATCTTGCAGGTTTAAGAAAAGAACTCATGGAATAGGCTGTACTTCTTGGCGGGAGGAGCCATGGTGGGAAAGTGACAGTGGCAACAGTTCAAAAACTGATAAGAAAACTGACTTTTGACTTTCGCTATGTGGTGCCACAAAATTTAAGTTAAGCAATTAGATACAAACATGAAAATTGAATACAATCAATTCAAAAGGCGAATTTTCAACTACAAACTCGTAACTGTTATCCATATTCCACAATGGTGAACAAAATTTTTCTATTCAACAGCCTTAACCCAGAAAGAAACTCGAAAAATGCCCCTTTAAATCTGCTTTTTTATGTTGAACACCAGTTGAAAAGAATCATTAAAAACTTTTTATTAAAAAACCGAGATGAAAATTTCGTGGAATTACATCTATTTGGCAAGTTTTATTGAAATCAGTTACCGGAAAGTGATTGTAACCGGATTCATCCCCTAGTTGGCCACCCTTAGAGGTGGAATAATTCTTCAAATTTAAATGGGACCAATACTGATGTACCCTCTTTCCAACAATGGAATCATCATCAATCAAAATCGGTTCACAAATCGCGTAACATACACACACAAAAAAATACAGTCAAATTGAGAACCTAATCCTTTTTTGAAATTGGGTAAGAACAAATTATAATCGACCTGGGATTCATAAATAATAATAATAATACTTACAGAGCAATCTGTATGCACATCAGGACCATCTCTGCGGAAATAGGTGGAAGGTGTCACTTTGAATGTGATGAAGATCTCGTTGTCTCCAACCGCCATGCGCACTGTCTGCCCATCTTCCACACCCGCTGGCACTGGTACTGTCACCTTCTTCCGTTGCACCTGATGCCCACATTTGTTATATATAATTATGACAGAAAACTGAAATGTGGACTTACCGGAGTGAATATAATAATAATAATTGAATAACAACATAAGCTTTTCTTTTATAAAAAAAAATAAAGGAAAGTGACATTGAGATCAACGATGAAACATGCACACCTAAATAGTGCCTCACTTTCGCCCCAACAAGACGCAATACTTGTTCTTGTTAAGACATTATTATAGTTTAATAAGACAAGTCGTGTAACTCCATACAAACGAAGCAACGCGGATACGGAATCAGATAATAAGATAATTGTGTACGGACACACACATTTGCATAATCTCGCGGTGCACTCTAGTTGCACAGCGCAGGATGGACGCTGCCATTTGTTATAAAATTAAAGCGTTCGAGTGTTTATTGTTTTGTTTATGGTTGTTAGAACAAAATTCAGAAGTGTTCATCATTTCATTACTTTTTCATAATCAAACTCCTTAGAGTATGAAAACCAAAGGACATATTATATTGACATATATAAATCAGACGTTATATGTATATGATGCATTTAGACGTTCAAAACATAAACATTTTATTGTCTTCGTTTAACTACTACGTGCCGTCGTAAGCCAAAAGAGATAGCAGTCAAAACCAATGTTTGGCCAAATGTTTTATTGAATTATTCACAGGAATTGTAATGAAATGGACAAAAATATTGACAGTGAGAACAATTAAGTATTGATTAAAATGCGTCTCTGCAGCATTAAGGGGTGCAGCAGTAGAAAATCGGAAATCGACCGAATGTTACATGGCATGTGTTGTTTTTCTGCCTATAAATCACACAATAGCACAAATACCGCATGCAATTAGACTCATTTAAGTAGTTTATTCATAAGTCTTGTCGAATTTTGCTTTGGTTACTTTAGATAGCCTGTTTGTTAGTATATTTTGATGATTGTTGATAACCATTATTTTCAGATAGTGTTGTTCTAGTAAGCAGACATATTATCGATATTCTGTTATTAAAACAATTCACCACGAGGTTTTTATTATTACATTATTATTATTTTTAAATTTTACCTACAAATGAAAAAAGAAAGAAATAATGGTTGGAAATTATAGGACTGACGAACATAAACATTGGATCAAATACCATCTTCGTTTCTTCTCTCCATTTTGAAGTCAAATTTTAATAGAACTTTGAATATAACTAGATTACATTCTAATGTAATCTAATGTAACTTTACATTTAATTTTGATTAAAATGGCTCATTACTTGCCCAGTAATAATAGCCTAGTATTAATCATATTTTGATTATAGTAAACTATACAAATTTGCAGACATGAAAAACAGTTGCATGTCGATATTGACTTATATAGATAAGTCAATATCGACATGCAACTGAAAAAGAAAATAAAAAAAATGACATAATCATAGGATTATGGTACAACACTAAATCCGCCATTTGTGGTGGACATTTTTGGTTTAGGTAGGGATGTTTATTCCGTAGATAGGGCAGCTCCTTTCTTTTATTTTTTTTCCATCCTCTAAGTTAAACTCCCATGACAGAAATGTTAATAACCGATGTTGATATAAAAATAGCAATATATAAGTACTGCATTTAACAAAAATTTCAATACAGACCGAAAATACTGTGATAAATACCTTATTTTTTTCCAAATTATAGTTACAACCTGTATGCACAACTAAAATAATAATGTGACAACCCTACAACTACGAGGTACGTGTAGGCATTGACGCATCGAACAGGCACTTGTCTACTATAGTATGACATTATTGGTAAATCTGTAGTCACTTAAATGCTTTACCAACATATTTCTTGTTAATCTACAATTAAAATAAATGCTTATATGACATACATCTCCTAAATTACAAAACAATCACTGATGTTTAGTCCAGGCTTAAACTAAGGAACTATGTATGCATCATCCACTTGGATGAATTTGTATTGATTTGCATGGACTGCTCTAGGCGTGTGGGGCCTTTAAACGATAAGCATTATTAGCTCATATTGAGAAGGAAATCTAAGCAGTAAGAACATACTAAAGTGGAATATGGTGAATGGACCAAAAACATCACCTTAAGTAGTAGAAATATTTGACTTACAGATTGTCCCTTTCCTTCACATTCGACACAAGGGAATTTGATAAGCATCCTCGAGCCGTGGCAGTGTCTACATGTGGAACGCATCACAAATGGACCTAAAATGTTAAAAATACGTAATATTACATTTGGCGTAGATTAGCAACATGCCTTTGAAGAAGTTTTGAAGGAAGGGTGCTGGTGAAATTACAAGCACATGGGACTTATCAATTTATATCACAGGGTGACGGGCACAGTGGCAGAGCCACTCAAACGATAGAAACACAAAGATAAAAAGCAAACTGACCTCTAGAGAATGTCTCCATGCCAGTACCATTGCAAAATGTGCATTTAATGGCCTTAGTACCAGGTTCACAGCGACTTCCATTGCATTTAGGACATGTATCTACAATGTTCACATTTATGTCCTTGTTTACACCACGTGCTGCTTCTGTGAAACTGAGATTCACTATTACCTGGAACATGAGAGAAATTTATTCTGTTATTCGACAAATTCTTGGTCTAACAAAGTCTTGGTTCTGCAATAGAAGATAATAAAAACTCACACTGGCGCACAGTCGAAGCATCGAGTCGCGTCATGTTTTTCGCCTATAGCATATTTATCTCTATTTTCCCATTATTAAGGTACAAATTTGTGGTATGCAAATATGGACAAACGAGTACGTTGTGACGTCTTTGATAAACTTTACTACCGACACGTCCAGTGAACTGCGAGCGCGAGAACGAGATGGTTCCACCATTTATGCGACAGTTTATGAGGCGCGAGACAAAATAAATTATTCATAAGTAATCCTGTTATGAAAGTGTAATGTACAATAGTACACACGAACTGCTGTCGGCGAGCGCGAAGCTTTATCCTGCATAGGGCATGCAACGACGCGTGACGACGCGTGGTTGCAGTCGAGAGGCTTCGCGCGTCGACGCGCGTTACGGCATCAGACGCTGACCATACTGTGATCCGGGCGCACTAACGTGAGAACCGTCACGCGTCGCCTTGGCCGCGTCAAGGCCTGGCCTTGCAGTTGAAAAAGAGGACGCGACGCGACACTTCGAGTCTGCGCCAGTGTGAGTTTAGCCTAATATTATAGAAATAAAGCAAACAGGTAGATAGCATTATCTCTGAACACAGAAAAATTGTTTTATAAGAAAGTGTGCAAGCAAGCTCAGTAATATTAATATTACAATGAATTATACAGAATGGGCTTGAGCAAGTCAGAGAAAACTTTAAGTGGATGCAATATGAGCGAAAAAGACATTCCGGGCATTCCGGTTTCGATTGGACCACTGATGAAAAACACACAATGCCTTTTTTACTCTTCTTCTTCTTTTAAATGTTATGGTCCCATCAAAGTAATCCATAATTTTTCCAATGTCAAGTTGAGAAACGCATGCATTTTATCTCAAAAATTTACTGGTGAATTTCGACAGAATTCACTGAGATGAGAATCTACAAATCTACAATGACAGAGAGCGTACACAGACTATTACAGAAACAAATTGGTTTTTTTTTTTTAAGAAATTTACACAGCACATGCACAAAGGCAGGATGGACTAACGTTAGAAAATTTTTACTCTTATTACATGGACAGAAAGGTTATCCTGATCAGCTTAATGAGATTCCATGTTGATAAGTGTAGTGATTCCCTTAAGCGGATACACTTGCAATCAGCATATGTATGCAGCTGAGACATGCATCTTAAACTTACCTCCTTTGCAGCTCCAAATCCAAACTGACTCTCAGCAAAATCACTGAATATATCACTCTTGAAACCTGCATCTCCAAATATCTTGCGGAACAATTCCTCAGGATCTATAGTAGATTTGTATTGCCATTGGTGTGTGAAGCCTTCTGGTCCTCCTGGTCCTCCCATTCCACCCATTTGGTCTGATGTTGTACCATATGTATCATATTGCTTGCGTTTTGACTCATCAGAGAGAATCTGAAATAATATATTAATTCAAATTAATCATTTATATTTACACCCTGTTGAACTAAATGTGTTTAATACTCTATATTAGGCTATGCATGAAAGCTGTTTGAAGTTTTGCTGGAAAAAGACATTATTAATCCCCTCGGCCACAAAGGTTGTCTGGAAGAGATCGCTTTCAGCGATAAGGCCGCCTTTGCCCAATTTAATTTTAAGGCTGTCTATGTACTGTTTTAGTTTTTTTTTTTGTGTGTGAGCAATAAATTGTATTATCTATGATTACATATTAAAATAAAGAATCTGCACCTCGCATCAATATTCTTGTGAGCAGCAGACCTCTCATCCTGACAGTTTTGAAGATCGAGAGATCTCGAAAATTTCGAGTCTGTACAATGTTTTGGCAATTTAAGACTCAAGGCTGATTTTTTAGTCTCGGAAATACCAGCACTTATGTCAATTAATTAAAAATCAACTAAACCAAAAGTTACATGGACATGGCAACACTATACAATGAGGCTTAGTATAATCTTTAAAGAACGGTGGTAATATAATCAGGTTGTCACCGGCTGAAACTGTGATAAATGCCAAATACTTGCATAATGAGTAACTTAGACAAAATGGCTTTTAAAAGTTTGAAATATTGGAAATTAAACTATTTAGCCAGATTTAAATCACGCATATTTGTTTTTTTTTCTAACAAACTGACATTTCCGACCCTTTACAGTCACCGTTTTCTAATTATTATTATTTCTAAACTGTCTATAGTCAGGTCAGTGACTTGTTTGTTTAATTTTTGTTCAAAATGGATTGAAACAAAGTATAATTAAAATATTATACTTTGACTGTCTATATAACTAGCCTGTAATTAAGTCTCATTTTTCCCAAGATTTTTGAGACTGCACTGAGTGTATGTCGATTATTTTACCAGAGACGCGTAAATGTAGCCAGTCTGAAAGACTTAGCGAGAATGTTACTGTTTTAGAGATAAAAAAAATCTCCTACTTACCTCATAAGCTTCTGACACTTCTTGAAACTTTTTCGAAGATTCAGGGTCGGACTTGTTAGCATCAGGGTGGTACTTTTTAGCCAATTGATAGTACGCCTGTTTTATTTCTTTGGCTGAAGCATTTTTTGATACTCCCAGGACTTTGTAATAGTCTACTCTGGCGTTCAAATTAGAAGTTGTGTGAAACAAGCGAGGTCTCAACTTGTCGTTATCTAAATAACATTGAGGTTATGTCGTAAGATGTCATGAACCAATTCACATAAGAAAACACAAATATCAACTTAAAACTCATATCACCTGCATCGCAAAAAGGCATTTGTATTAAACGAATATGTTGTAATAAATACAAACGATGATGTAATAAAAGCATGTAAACTTACACTTGAAGGCTTTATGTCCTACAGCAGCGGGAATTGCAGCTCCAATTAAGAAGTGGTCACATTTATTACATTTGTGAATATATCGGCACGCATTTTTAGAAATATTACTTGTAAAAACAGTGGTAAGAGTTTTCGGATTCAAAAATCCGAAAATATTCCGGGTTGGAACCATTTTGAAAGAAAGAAATAACTAGCCACAGACAAAAAACACATGCTGACTTTTAAAGCGCCTTACTCACGATGGTATATTACACGACATCATCGATTTCAAATAAATTGCGTATTCATTCGTCCCACTATGCATATTTCAGTTTGTCTTGCAAAATGTCAAAAAAAATCTTTGATGAATCTAATTGACTGTATCCCTATCAATGAAATGTTATTGTCATGATCATCATTTCAAATAACGGAGTACTAATCTCTTCTTCTGAAGAAAGGATTTAGACAAGGCCTTTGCAGCCCACCACATTGAACCATTGCAGTAGTCTGAGAACTTATTTATGTAATTGAATCTAAGGCTACTACCAGACGAACTGGATTATATACTGGATTATTTTTAAAATACTAATAATCCCGCAGGACTATATTACTAACATCATAATTAACAACTTTTGTACCATGACTTTTAATAATTCATCAGATTTTACTTTCATACAAAAATTAGTAGATTTAAATAGGTCGTTCTAAGCGAAAATAACTCTATGCAGGACGAATGTGGGGGGGTGGGTCGTCGCAATTGCACGTTAGAAAATATAGATCTAAAGTGTTAGACAGTGCAACAAAAACTTACAAATTTAGTTTTGGCAAATATTATTTTTTGTAAAAAGTCAAGTTATGATGTTAGTAATATTGTCTGCGAGATTGTTAGTATTTTAAAAATAATCTTGTGTTGTATACTCGTTTAATGAAAACCCGGCTTTATTTAACGTAAGTATAACATATTTTTGAAAGTGTTACCGCGCCTTCTTGCACTGAAGTGAGCCCATATGAGCAAGCTCAATAAAACGTACGTATGTAGGTATACGAACTTGGCGCTTGGTACTGGTACTTTTTTTTTTTTTTACGAGGGGGAAATCTTTATGGATACCAATAAATCTTTATGTGGGGTCTCTCCCTCCAGACTGGAGGGCCTACCCCACTAAAACCCCCCCGGGTTTCCCTCTCGCCGGTTGAGTCGGCGCCGTGGGATCAGTGAACATTCACCACGACGCCGCCCGGCCGCCCTAGCTTACGCCAGGGCTCCCGAGCCAACGGAGGGGCGAGTCGGTTGTCCTCCGACCCGCCCCCCAGACGAGTGAGGCCGTGCAATGCAGGTTGGTACTGGTACTTGGTATTCGTGTACGAATATCATCGAGTACATAACCAGAAATAGAGACGAAATGTCTTTTAATTTGTTTGAAAACTATTCTGCCATATCATTACTGTGACAATTGTGCTCCGATTGGCTAGCTCGAGTTCGAAACAATTGACGGGTGTCGTCAATGGGTGTCGTCAACTGTTTCACTTCAAATCGACCAGTTAACTTGAGTTTTGCTATAATGGACGAAAATTGCAAAATTACATATTTAAAATTAATGTGATTCCGTTTGTTTTGTAATTAGATGTTTTGCTGTCTCTTCGTTCTTCGTTTGCTCGGTTGCATCACGGTTAGTGGGGTGTACATGTTAATTTTTCAAATTAACTACGATAGACGAAAAGCGAGTTGAAGAATTTATGGAGAATGCAGAACAACACCTTGCAATATGGGATATCAGTTCCGCCAGTTATTCTAATCGACTGGAAAAAAGGCATGGGAAAATTTCTGTAAATTAAATTTCTAATTAAATTTCTGTGTAAAATTTGTTGACAATTTTGAAACTAAAACTACAAATGAAAAAAATATAGCAGGAGTTACCAGGACGTAACGCCTGGTTATTGCTGACGACGTACCTACGCATCTACATACACGTGCCGTTTTATTGCAAGATTGTCTATAATGCATTTCTGAATTACCAATTTGTTATTTTATTTATAGTCAGTCTCATTACAGCTCTTATTGAATAAACAACGTCTTTTTATAATTAAATTTACTTTTTAAAAACCTATTTTTCGATCGCCAATACATATCTGGCGCAGTCGGTAATTCTCGCGGTACACCCGGAAAACTTATCATCATCGCGAGTTCGCGGTATAACCCTCTATCGCACTACCGGGTGAAGAAAAGCAGCATCCAGACTCCCGTGAGAGAACCTATCCCTGGCGATCGTCGTGGAGCTTGAAGTCCGGAGAATTGGAACCTTGAGCTGCCACTGCTGTTGAGACCCGATAGGAGATGCAGATACTGCTGTGGTGAGTACTCTCTCGTTTACCAAGTTCCTATCTGCTCTATTTCCTGTCGTACTATTTTATAAGTATCACGCTGTGTCTGTCTATAGGCCATTATCGTCATAGATTCGCTTTTGTTTGATTCCAAAAGTATAGGCCCGCGTTTAATTAAGTATAACAATGGCGGAATCAGATTTCAAAACCCTGTCCGACCTTATGCCGCGATACGACGGTAATCCGAAACGGTTAAATATGTTTATTTCTGATGTCGATAACGTACTACAGCTGTTCCATATGGAAGGAGAATCATTTTCAAATTTAGTAGTATGTCTTATTAAAAGTAGACTTAGTGGCGGCGCTCTCGACGCGCTCGCGTACGAAAAATCTTTGAATACATGGCCTGACATTAAACAAGCCTTACTTCGTCGCTTAGGCGACCCCCGCAATGAGATACAGGTGATGCAGGACCTGTCGCGAACCCGCCGTCAGAAGTCAGAGGATTCTGAGGCGTATGGCAAACGTCTACGCGAAATTTTAGACACGCTGTACTCAGTAGGTAAAAACCCGGATAAATCGTATTACGAATGCATGGTTATCGAACAATACGTTAACCAATTGGAGTTTCACGTGTCGTTAGGGGTTCGTATTGATAAACCTAATACACTGGAAGCAGCTATAATGGTAGCCCGACAGGAGGAGGCCAGATTAGCGGCTAATTCCCCCCCAGGAATGGTACAAAATAAGGGGAAGATGGATTTTCAAAAACATACTTTCCCACGTTTGAATATGCCTGCCTTTAACAGTAATAATTTCCAACCCCAATATGTGCAAAATGTTCAACCCCAATCTAGCTGGACGGCAGAGCAGCGTGCGCCACAGAAACCACCAATGTTACTGTGGCATCAGAAACCAACTCAAGGTAACTTTAAAAATAATAATTCAGGCACATTTAGGAACTCTGGAGCTTTTCGGCAACCGAACATCCCGCAACGCCCTTGGAACCAGCCTCAGAAGGTGTCCGACGTTACGATGCGATCAGTATCAAAGCCACAGGCACCTAACTTTGGGCAGCAGAACCTATTCTACATGGCCCCAGAAGAAGCAGACTCGAACGTAACTCAGGAGACTTACTATGATGAAGAAGCATACTCGTATAACAACTATCAGACCAGTGAGGCCCCTTATGACCTACCATCTACTCATGAGACAGAGGTAAGTCCCGGTCAGAATTTTCCCGTCACCAACGAGGAAGACGACCACAGCTAGTCAAACTCAACAACCACCACAAAGACCACTTGCCTTACATAGAAATACCCGAATTCCAAGGTAAGTTTTTAATAGATACTGGAGCCTCTCGCTCTATGTTATCACCAAGCGCTGTTTATGGCACTAAATTAGAAAACTTCGTCACTTACGAACCATTTGAAGTTAAAACCGCCCACGCACGATCAACTCATGATTTCGTCGCACACATACCACTGCCTCCCCTATTTAATAGTAATGTGCAACATAAATTTTTACTGTTCGATTTTGACCCTAAGTACAAAGGTTTAATTGGTCTTGACTTACTAAAAAATATGTCTAGCAATATTGATCTGAAGGACAAAATGTTACGAACTTCATCTGCCGCGATACCCATTCATTTTGATCACCCAACTCGAAAGCTTAACATAGATCCCAGTTGTGAAAAGCTTATTACGGTCAAGACGCACTATACGGATGGCTACTACTTACACGATGAGCACGCGTGGTCCCCCGATGTAATATCCCCAGCAGCTCTCGTTACTGTCAAGAATGGGTTATTTCGTACAACTGTCCGGAATTCCTCTAACAAAATAACTACATTCTTTAATACAGAACCATTTCATCTAGTGCCACAATCAGAAGCTCTAGATACCTGTGAATTCAACTCAATAGAAACAACCAAAGAACTTGACAGAGAACTGTGCGAAAATTTAAAAAACATCCGCACAAATCATTTGAATGAGGAGGAAGAACGCGAACTTACAAAACTGTGTTACAATTATAGAGATATATTTTATTCTGAAAATATCCCCTTAACTTTCACTCACGCGGTAAAGCATGAGCTACGCGTGCGTGACAACACGCCTATCTTTGTACGTAGTTACAGACAGCCACCCCAACAGCGTGCCGAAATCAAAAGTCAAATTGATAATTTACTCAGTCAAGGTATTATCCGTGAAAGCGTATCCCCTTGGTCATGTCCTGTGCACATCGTCCCCAAGAAACCAGATGCCTCAGGTAATGTCAAATGGCGACTAGTCATTGACTACAGACGCCTTAACGATAGGATAGTAGAGGACAAGTACCCCCTCCCTAATATTTACGATATCTTAGACAGAGTAGGGCGTGCCCAGTATTTCACCACTCTGGATCTGGCCAGTGGATACCACCAGGTGGAAATGCACCCTAACGATGTAGAAAAGACCGCTTTCTCCACTGAGAGGGGTCATTACGAATTCTTACGAATGCCCTTCGGCCTAAAGAACGCCCCAAGCACTTTCCAGAGACTTATGGACCACATCCTCCGTGGAATCGATAATGTCTTTACGTACTTGGATGACGTCATTATTGTATCTACTTCCCTACAAGAGCACATTGAGAAAGTCAAACAAGTTTTTGACAGATTTAAAATTCACAATCTCAAAGTGCAATTAGCGAAATCGGAATTCCTTAAGAAACAAGTGACTTTCCTAGGACATGAACTTACATCAGATGGTCTTAAACACCAATAAGATCAAAGCCGTTCTAGACTTTCCCATGCCCGTTACTCACAAAGATGTCAAAGCCTTCTTAGGTTTGGTGGGATACTATAGGAAATTCATCCGCGACTTCGCTAGATTGACTAAGCCCTTAACCGAATGT